CACCACATCTAAGGACTAGTAAGCTGCGATATAGTACAGTTTTGTTTTTGAGTTTAGGTATGCTTCAGTGCTACAGCATACCTTTTAGGCAATCGTGTGCTTCCAGCCAGGGCCTTGGATAAGGGGGTACCACCAGTCCTCCTGTACGGGACCCAGGCCAGCAGGGGGGCCCAGACAGCTGGGTGAATCGGATGTGGGCAGGGAGGGTGATCGGTATGGCAGGAGGGGTAATTACTGGAACTGATCCCCTGTATGGCTCTCCCTGCAGCAGCTGAAATCTGGCTTCTTCTTTTCTCCCTTCTGCTGGCTTTCAGCTGCTGCAGAGTAAGCCATACAGGGGATCAGTTCCAGTAATTGTCCCCTCATTGCACCCATCACCCTACCTGTGCACCATACTTTTCACCCTGCCAGTTTCCCCTTTGTGCCCCCACCCTTGCAGTGCTGCCGACTTCCCTCTTCTCCTTCCCACCAGCAACTGCAAGCACATAATAGGATCCTTCTGGATGGAGAGTGGGGGAAGGGTCCGGTAAATAAGTCACATTTACCAGCCCCTTCCTTTCCTGAATGAACACAATGACCAATCGGTACCGATCACTCACTGTGCTCATTCATAAAGCATAGTAAACTGTTTTTTCACATTTACCAGCCCCTTCCTTTCCTGAATAAACACAATGACCGATTGGTACCAACCACTCACTGTGCTCATTCATGGGTAAAGCATAGTAAATTGTTTTCTTGGGGTGGAGGGCCCTGTCATGTTGGCTGTATTGGGCCCCAAGGTTTCTGACAACAGCCCTGCTTCCAGCTCTGTGACAACAGTTTGGCGGGGAGTCATTTTATGTTCCATGATAACTACGTCCCTAATGTATAAAGCCAGCTCCATGGACAAGGCCCTGACCTCAACCCTACGAAACATCTATGAGAAGAATTGTATTGTGAGCCAGGTCTTCTCATCCAATATCGGTACCTCACAAATGATCTTCTGAATAAGTAAGCACATATTCCCATAAACACACTCCAAAATCTTGTGGAGACTGGAGGCTTTTATAGCTACAAAGGGAGGCCAACTCCATATTAATGGCCATAGATTTGGGATGTTCAGCAAGCTTATATAGGTGCGATGGTCAGATGTGTACAAATGTTTAGCCATATATGTTGTATACTGACTGGTTAGGGTGTAAAGGTGCACAAAGGTATGAATTAATGAGGCCTGAGGATCTTAGGGGAGAAATTGTAGAGAAACTGTAAGGATGAGTTCACACTGTTGCAATGCAAGCACGTTCATGTGCGTTACTTTGCATGGTGAAGTGCATTGTGTTAGGCAGCCTATTCATGTAACGCACCAAAACACAATTAAAAAAGGTAAATTCTACCAGAAACAGGAATGCTGCACACCAAGATGCAAAATAATATTCTTCCTTTATTAACCGCTTCCCGACCGCCCTATAGCAGGACTACTGCTACAGGGTGGCAGAGCTGCACAAAATCACGTATATATATATATATGTGTGATTTTGTATTTCTGGGTAGGGGGCACGCATGCGCCCTACCTGCACCGCCATTGGCGGCTACAGATGTCAATCACCGGGTCCCGGCTGGAGATTCCCCTCCGGCACTCAGCAATCGCCAAGGAACACTGACTGGGGAGAGGTCTGTATGTAAAGAATACTGATCTCTCCCCTGTCAGCTCCAGCACACTGCTTTGTATTGCTCTGCATAGCAGAGAAATACAAAGCAGCGTGCTTACTCAGTAAAACGCAGCACACAGTAAAACACACACAGCACACACTTCACCCTTTGATCGCCCCACATGGAAACCCCTTCCTGCCCAGTGTCATTAGTACAGTGTCAGTGCTTTTTATTAGCACTGATCACTGTATTAATGAATATCACTGGGGATGTCAGTGACAGTCCCCGTCCCCCGTCCCCCCCAGTGTCAGAATGCCCACTGCAGTCCTGCTATAAGTCACTGATTTCCACCATTAATAGTATATATATATATACTGATACATATATATATATACACAGTATCTCCCAGGGGTGGACTCACTTCTGGGAGATACTGTATATATACCGGCATTTGTAGACACTAACTTTCACGTGAACCAATTAATTTACATGTATTGGGGGTTTTTTTTTTTTTAGCAAAGACATGTAGCAGAATACATTTTGGCCTAAATTTATGACGAAATTCGATTTTTTTTAATTTTTTTTACTGGATATGTTTAATAGCAAAAAGGCAAAAATATAAATTTTTTGTCAAATATTTAAAGTGTCTTGCGAGCCAGAAAACGAAAAAAGGTCTCCTTAATATACAACATAAAATATATGTCCTCTATATAGTCGGATCGCACAAACATCTAACACATAACTACCAATGTGAAAAAAATGTGAATAAAATCCTATAATGTTGCGCTCCCAAAACACTCCAATTTATATATGGAATCACTTTGTCTATGTCCTAAGAACCATATGCAGAAAAAATAAAAAATATATATATATAGTAGATCAAATGACATGAAAAATATACTGAATTAATATTAAAAGAAACCTCTGTGATTATACAAAAATAATACCTGTGATTGAAAAATAAATATAACTTCACTTATAAAAAATTATTCAAATGATCAATGTGCATAAATTAATAAATGCATATGTGAAAACAGTGTCCCATATAATAAAAGTGACTTTGTGCTGTTAATTAATCTTCAATCCATATTGCATGTGAATCCGTGACTGATTGTGAATCCTCCCATTAGTGCAGATGTACGCTCACCTCCTTCTCTGCCTATAATTAGGCTATATGCGCTTTTGGTTCTCCTCCTATGGAACCTACTTGACTAGGACTCCCTCCTTTGGAACAATGGATATCCGCCGCTATTAGCATATGCTGTGGGATTGATCCCGTCTCCAGAGGATACAACTCCTCTATACTCTCATCTCCATACGGCTCTCCACATAGGAAAAAGATCTCAACATGGTGTTTTATCCTTTATAAAGATTGGCTTTATTGACTCCAAGTATAACACTCACATGTGTTGTATTCAAAATCCGTATCACAGTATGAACCGAGTCCTCCGCTGACTGTCAGAGGCATGTACCCGTGGTCCAGCAAACGAACTGACTCCCTCCGAGTGACGTTACAGTCCCACCCCTACGCGTTACGCCACTGGTCACGTGGCTTCATCAGGGGGATTTGATCAAATCCCCCTGATGAAGCCACGTGACCAGTGGCGTAACGCGTAGGGGTGGGACTGTAACGTCACTCGGAGGGAGTCAGTTCGTTTGCCGGACCACGGGTACATGCCTCTGACAGTCAGCGGAGGACTCGGTTCATACTGTGATACGGATTTTGAATACAACACATGTGAGTGTTATACTTGGAGTCAATAAAGCCAATCTTTATAAAGGATAAAACACCATGTTGAGATCTTTTTCCTATGTGGAGAGCCGTATGGAGATGAGAGTATAGAGGAGTTGTATCCTCTGGAGACGGGATCAATCCCACAGCATATGCTAATAGCGGCGGATATCCATTGTTCCAAAGGAGGGAGTCCTAGTCAAGTAGGTTCCATAGGAGGAGAACCAAAAGCGCATATAGCCTAATTATAGGCAGAGAAGGAGGTGAGCGTACATCTGCACTAATGGGAGGATTCACAATCAGTCACGGATTCACATGCAATATGGATTGAAGATTAATTAACAGCACAAAGTCACTTTTATTATATGGGACACTGTTTTCACATATGCATTTATTAATTTATGCACATTGATCATTTGAATAATTTTTTATAAGTGAAGTTATATTTATTTTTCAATCACAGGTATTATTTTTGTATAATCACAGAGGTTTCTTTTAATATTAATTCAGTATATTTTTCATGTCATTTGATCTACTATATATATATATTTTTTATTTTTTCTGCATATGGTTCTTAGGACATAGACAAAGTGATTCCATATATAAATTGGAGTGTTTTGGGAGCGCAACATTATAGGATTTTATTCACATAGATTTTTTGTCAATTTTTTTGTTTATAACAGAAAAAAAATAAAAAATGCACAGGCAATCAAATACCACAGAGAGAAAGCTCCATTTGTGGGAAAAACAGGACATAAATTTAATTTGGGTGCAGCGTTGCATGACCGCGCAATTGTCAGTTAAAGGAAGGGGGGTAAATCCTCTGGAGGGCAAGTGGTTAAAATTAGCAGCAGGAACAAGTTCTACACTGACATGTTTCGAGCTAGGCTTGGGACTTTCCAAAGACAGAAAGTGCTGTGCCTAGCCCAGAACATGTCAGAATAGAACTTGTTCCCGCTGGCTATTTTAATTATAGAATATTATTTTGCATTTCGTTGTGTGGCAATCCTGTTGCTGGTACAATTGATTGCTTTGGTGGAGCCAACATGAGCCAGCACATCAGACGTGATTGTGGAGAGTCTAGTATGATCTTGTCTGGAGCAGCATGTGAAATATTTGAAACTAAAAAAAGTAAATGTGCTTTTTTGTGCTGCAGCTCACAATGCAACACACAATTTAGAAAGTTGAGAATATTATTTGTGTTTTCCGCCAAACTGTGTTGTGACATTGCCATCTTGGCCAGGAGAAGAAGTAAGGGATGTGTTGTGTCTCATGAATAAGTCCTTGACTCATTCACGTCTCCATTTAGTGTAAAGAGTTGCTAAGAGCACTACTGATGGCTGCAAGTGGTTTGTAAGGATCAAAGAAAAGCACTACATTAAATGTTACCAAGATGATGAGTACACAGAACTGTGATGTAGAAAGGGGTGCAGGATGCTACCTCCTCACAAAACGAGAAGTTGTCTATTAATTATGATACCGTAAATCAACACAATTAATTTATTTGTATATAATAGGAATAAACCAGAGAGAATGAAATGGTCCACATCACTAAAAATTTGCATAAGTTGCAGTATTTTTGCATTGCTTATATTGTGAGCAGGACGTACATTGACTTATTGTATGTGTTTGATTTCAGGAACTGCTGCAGTTAGAGGACAGACTGGGAAGTGTGACGCGGGGAGCGGTGCAAAACATTATTGAAAGATGCACTTTTCCGCACAAGTACAAGAAGGTAAAAACCTCCACACATTTCACATACATGTACTTGCATGTCTCACAGTTTTTCAAACATTCAGAATTATATTTTGTGTTAGTATATTATGATGTGTAGCACTGTCCCTTGGGACAAGCTGGAATATATTATGGGTCCTGCGCGCAATAGATCCAACCCTTAAGCAAACTCAATCCCTCTGGCACAGCTGGTAATGAATAGCAAATACCCCGCCAAGAAATTTGCTGACACAGGGTTAAATGAAACAAGAACAATTTTATGGAGAATGAAATGCAGTGTAGAGGGGTGGGGTTCCCCTTTCAACTTCAAAACTTACTTTTCTTCTTTTATGCAATGCAGTAAATTTGGTCTGCCACTAGAGGGCTTCACAGCCAAGAGTCTCCGGATGGCAGAGCCGCACTTTAAACCGAATACAACTGATATCAACAAATAAACTTACTTATACTCTATCAATGAAATGTATTACCCACACCGGGGTATGATTCTGCTTCTGAGGGGCGTTAGCCAAAAATCACCTCAGAGTCAGAACAGAATGCAATAAAGAGGTACCTCTAATAAGGCTACTAAGCCAGATTCCCCCACTTCAGTCCTTGTAACAGTGGAGCTCTAGTTGGTGCACGTTTAGTCCTTACAATGAAGTAAATAGCAGCTGAAGGCTTCTTTGGAGTTTCAGCTGGTGTGGGTTACATCAGATTTCACTAGGTTTCTGGGCTGAGAGGGTCCAATCTCAGTGTCTAGAGCAACACAAAGCACCCCAAGACCAGGGGCAGTCGCAGGATGCAATCTCCCAGTATGTGTCAGTCCCCGGGGCAGACAGTCTCAATTACACTGGTGGTGAGGGGCAACGCAGGCAGGGGGATCTGTTGCTTGCACAGGGCCCCGGATGGGTGAGATCCCAGCAGTGGGGTGGATGTCCCAGTCTATATGCAAAGTGTAAATGGTGTGTCTTACTCTCTCCAGTGGGACAGCTCACCAGACTCTGAACACACAGCAGGGTCCCTCTATCCGCGCTGGGTGCTGTAGTGCCTCCTCCTCTGCTTGGACGGGCTCCACATGTCCCTGTCTTTTCTCCAGCCTCGTGTCTCTCTGTTCTCCCCTTCACTTCCTGCTTCCTCCCCCTCCCAGCGGTCTTTGCTGTGTAGTGGATGAGTCATGAACTTGGCAGAATGCCCAGGTTTTACAAATAGGGGAGAGAGAGAAAAGACTGACTGCTGAACATGCGATTCCTTCTGAATCCTCTTGTACAAGGAGCCTGCTACAGATGTAATCGCTGCCTGCAGCGAACTGCTTCATTTACTCCCTCCGAACACACCCTCCCAAACCCTTTTCCTTTCCTTTTCCTCTTCTTTTCCTTCCCTTTTCCTTTTCTTGTCCTTCCCTTTTCCTTTTCTTGTCCTTCCCTTTTCCTTTTCTTGTCCTTCCTTTTCCTTTCCTTTTCCTCTTCTTTTCCTTCCCTTTTCCTTTTCTTGTCCTTCCCTTTTCCTTTTCTTGTCCTTCCTTTTCCTTCCCTTTTCCTCTTCTTTTCCTTCCCTTTTCCTTTTCTTCTCCTTCCCTTTTCCTTTTCTTCTCCTTCGCATTTTCCTTTTCTTGTCTCTTCCTTTTCCTTCCTTTTCCTCTTCTTTTCCTTCCCTTTTCCTCTTCTTTTCCTTCCCTTTTCCTCTTCTTTTCCTTCCTTTTTTTTCTCTTCTTCTTTCTTTTCCTTCCTTTTTTCCTCTTCTTCTTTTCCTTTTCTTTTTCTTTTCCTCTTCTTTTCCTTTTTCCTTTCCTTTTCTTTTCCTTTTCCTCTTCTTTTCCTTTTTCTTTTCCTTTTCTTTTCCTTTTTCCTTTTTCTTTTCCTTTTCCTTCCCTTTCTTTCCCCCCCTTTCCTTTCTTCTCCTTTTTGCTTTCCCTGTCCTTTCCCTTTCCTCTCCTTTCCCTTTTCCTTTTCTCTCTGCTTCTTTCCTTGTCCTTTCCTTTCCCTGTCCTTTTCCTTTCCCTTTTTCTTTTCCTTCCCTTTCCGTTTCCCCTTTCCTTTCTTTTCCGTTTTGCTTTCCCTGTGCTCTCCTTTCCCTTTCATCCTCCCCTTCCTTTCCTCTCCTCTGTTTCTCTCTTCTTCTCTTCCTTCTTCCCCATCTCTCTTTAGTAACCTTCTTCACCCTCTTCCTCTATATCATTATACTTTTTATTTTCCCCTTTCCTCAATTCCTTATTATTCCACCTAACTTAAGTACTTTTCCTTCCTTCTGCTCCCCTTGCCACACACTTCAATCACCCCATTTTCTTAGGGGTGACACCACTACTTAATTGCACAGATTCCCCTCCGCGTGAAATCATACTTTGCATCAGCCAACCGGGTACCAGGAGGCTACTATCATAGGCTAATCTAAGGTATAATGAACAGGGGGATGCCACAAACTTTTTAATGCTTTATTTTAGGGGTCTCCAAAGTTTTCAAATAAAGGGCCAGTCTACTGTCCTTCAGACTTTAGGAGGGCCGGGTTGTGGCCAGTGGGGATAAAAATGTTGTGGGCCCAGCATCAGTGAAAATAAACATTGCTTCGGGGTTAGTGGTCAGTAGGAGGAAGAGTAGTGCCCCATCGTTTCTATCAGTGGGAGGAATAGTGCCCCATCATTTCTATCAGTGGAAAGAATAGTACCCCATCATTGGTATAAGTGGGAAGAATAGTTCCCCATCGTTGGTATCAGTGGAAATAATAGTGCCCCATCGTTGGTATCAGTGGAAAGAATAGTGCCCCATTGTTGGTATCAGTGGGAAGAATAGTTCCCCATCGTTGATATCAGTGGGAAGAGCAGTGCCCCATTGTTGGTATCAATGGGAAGAGCAGTGCCCCGTCGTTTGTATCAGTGGGAAGAATAGTGCCCCATCGTTGGTATTACTGGAAAGAGCAGTGCCCCATCGTTGGTATCAGTGGGAAGAATGCCCCATTGTTTGTATCAGTGGGAAGAATAGTGCCCCATTGTTTGTATCAGTGGGAAGAATAGTGCCCCATTGTTTGTATCAGTGGGAAGAATAGTGCCCCATTGTTGGTGTCAGAGGGAGGAATAGTATCCCAAGGGCCAGATAAAAGCTAGCAAAGTGCTGCATCCGGCCCTTGGGCCGCAGTTTGGAGACCCCTGCTTTATTTAATAGCCAGCAGAAATAATTTGACACATGTAGCCCTAAGGTCCAGTGCTTTCCTTGAGAGAGCGCTGAGCATTAGCACAAAATCCAATAGCCTTTTTCTGCTGAGTATGCAATGAAGCTTTGAAGATTGGTGCGTGGTATTCCATTGATGTGCTAGTGTGCTTAATTGCACTAGCCCATAAATAGGAAGGTGTATCTTCTGTGTAATTACAATGTAGTTCTACTATTAGCCTAGTTAACAACTTCTTCTCATGTGCTCAAAGAGATATTTTTCAGTGCTTATGATCTGTATGTAAAAGTGTTAAATGAATAAAAATGATTGAAACGTCATGATGCTCCCTGTATACTTTATGAAGGCCAATATGTCTACCGTGCCGCTTATCAAAAATCCAAACTGATGTGCCAGTGCCAACCCCATTTTAGTACACCCCACTAATATCTTTTGACTTCTTATTGTTCAAAATCAGCTCCGTTGAAAAATGCATGACAATGTACCTGCACATATTACTTGGTGTTTAAAGAGGACCTGTCAGAACAGCTGTTCAGTGTCATGGTCGAGGTCCCAATCCAAGGGTTAAGGCTAATGTGGGTTGCAGATTGCACCGATATTGGTTTAGGGCTGATGTGTCAGAGTGTATTTGATAACATATGTGTGATAATGCAGTACTGTGCCCTGGAACTAGCCTGACCACCAGGGGCAGACTGACCATTTGGGAACTCGGGCACTGCCCGAGGGCCCGGGGTCAGTAGGGGGCCCTTTGAGATGCCCCTGGTACCTTTTTCATAGGCTTTTTTGAGTGTGGGCAAGGACACAGGGGCCCCATGATCCCCTATTGCCCGGGGGGCCCCATGAGTTGTCAGTCCGCCCCTGGCCTGACCGCTAACCTTTGTGAGACTTCTATGGTTGCCAGCAGGAGCCACGTGTCTACTCAATCCTGGGTGAAACCAATTGGCTCTCAGTAACATTTCTCCCTTAATTTTTCTTTCTTTTACTAACCGTATGGCAGAGGATACCACATGATGGCAAAGACACGAAAGAGGACGAGGAGGAGGCGGACACAGACGAGAAGTGCACAATCTGCCTATCAATGCTTGAAGACGGAGAGGATGTCAGGTAATAAAAGACCTGCAGTTCCCATCCCCTATATCTGAAATAGTTTCCTATGAGATGTGTAGAACCTGATGAATTTACACCAGGAACAAGGCCAGGACAGAATACGTTAAGGGAATGGAGATATCTCCCTCTGAGGCTTTTGTATTTTGAGAGCTGGCTCCACCAGCTGTCAAAATCCCTGAACAGCGTCTACATCTGATTGGATGCTCCTGCTGTTTGGAAGACAATTTGTCTTCTGGCTCCTTCGATTGTTCACTTGAGAGTTTACGGCTGAGAGGCCAGTCAACAGGACCAACCATCAAACTTCGCTTTATGTATGGCCAGATTTAGTGTTACTAAACCCACAACAGTACAATCAGTCTGTAGATGCAGTAAAGCATGCTTGCTATACTCACTGTGGAACCTAAGGGGTTAATCCTCTGCATTGTGTAAAAAGGCTGTTTGATCCTGTCTTCTCTGATCCTCGACTTTTTACTGTCTCCAATCCATCTGCCATAGTGCAGAGCAGCAGTGGCAAGTCTACAAATGTTCTGTTTGGTGTCTATTGCTAGAGCATTTTTGTCTTTTTGGGAGGGTGCATGTCCAGACAGAGGGTCAGGGGTCATGCAGCCTCACAGGGCAGTCAGAGGGGAATGAAAACTCCTTCCTACAAGATTAACCAATGCCCAGCCGGACACTGATAGAAGTCACAAGGCTGCTATATACTTCTGATGAGAAAAGGTATTTAACAGCCAATCAGCACTGTCCAGACAGAGGGTCAGGGGTCATGCAGCCTCACAGGGCAGTCAGAGGGGAATGAAAACTCTTCCTACAAGATTAACCAGTGCCCAGCTGGACACTAATAGAAGTCACAAGGCTGCTATATACTGCTGATATATATGCAGTAAAGCATGCTTGTTAGACTCATTGTGGAACCTAAGGGGTTAATCCTCTGCACTGTGTAAAAAGGATGTTTGATCCTGTCTTCTCTGATCCACATTCCCCATTTCATCTCCTGATAGAACGGAGCCTCTGGGACACTCTGCACATGCTCTGTTTGGTGTGTACTGCTAGAGAGAGTTTTTTCTTTTTCTTAGGAGAGTGCATGTGATCAGCACAGGGCAAATCAGCACTGTCCAGACAGAGGGTCAGGGGTTATGCAATCTCATAGTGCAATGAGAGGAGAATGAAAACTCCTCCTACAAACTTTAACCAGTGCCCAGCCATACACTAATAGAAGTCACAAGACTACTATATACTGCTGATGAGAAAAGGTATTTAGCAGTTTGTATTTACTAAAATAATTGCATTTCCATGTTGTGTTTACTGTGGGAGATCAGATATAGTGAATGCAGGGTCCAGGGAGAGCAGATATAGTGAATGCAGGGTCCGGGGAGACCAGATATAGTGAATGCAGGGTCCGGGGAGACCAGATATAGTGAATGCAGGGTCCAGTGAGAGCGGATACAGTGAATGCAGGTTCCGGGGAGACTGAATATAGTGAATGCAGGGTCCAGGTAGACCAGATATAGTGAATGCAGGTTCCAGGGAGACCGGATATAGTGAATGCAGGGTCCCGGGGAGACCAGATATAGTGAATGCAGGGTCCGGGGGAGACCGGATATAGTGAATGCAGGGTCTGGGGAGACCAGATATAGTGAATGCGGGCTCCAGGGGGAGACCAGATATAGTGAATGCATGGTCCAGGGAGACCAGATATAGTGAATGCAGGGACCGGGGAGACCAGATATAGTGAATGCAGGGTCCGGGGAGAGCGGATATAGTGAATGCAGGGTCCGGGGAGACCGGATATAGTGAATGCAGGGTCTGGGGAGACCGGATATAGTGAATGCAGGGTCCGGGGGAGACCGGATATAGTGAATGCAGGGTCTGGGGAGACCGGATATAGTGAATGCAGGGTCTGGGGAGAGCGGATATAGTGACTGCAGGGTCTGGGGAGACCGGATATAGTGAATGCAGGGTCCTGGGTTTAGTAACACTTTATGGGTGCAACATGAGAATGGGCCACAGCTGTACGAAATTGCATTTTGGCTACTTGACCACAACCTATAGAAGAGAGACAAGGGTCTTGATTCACCAAGCTTCAATAGCATTTATTGCATGCTAAATGATGCTTAAAGTATCTAAGCCCAAACCACTTTTTTTTAAGTTTTGGATAAAGCAGGAAAGGGTTAAAACCCCTATCTTTTTTTTTTTTATTTTCAACCATCTGGAAAGCAGTTGTCACTGGGACACATGCCTTCATTGGAAGATTTCCCCTCTATTCTTCCTCTAGTGACAACTCCAAGTTTTGGATTGTCCAATCATTCTCAGTTCTGGTGACAATGATCACAAAATAGAGAGGGTGAATCTTCCTAGCCGACAATAAAAACATTTAACCGGAATATTGATGCCATCCGGAGATAACCCATCAATTAAACAGATGGGTTTGAATTGGTGAAGATCGATGACTGCACTTATGAACTTGATAATTGAATACATTCAAAAAGGCTTATACAACCCCCACTACATGACGATATTTAATTTTTTTTTTTTTTTTTTTTTTAGTTTGCAAGATTAATATTGTCTAAAAGGTACGTGTCAAACAGCAAGACACAAAAACCATACATAAAAGATATAAAAACATCTGCACAGGCCTGTCCATAAGATATACAGTACGTGTAGCGACTACCCTTTTGGCATATCAATAAATTTTTCACATTGAGGCAAAAGAGTCCACCATGTGTGCTATGTGTGCTAATAATTATTCCTTGACAAAGTAATTTATCTTTGCTAAAGAGTCCAGCCAAAGAATATATATCCTCATGGATTTGATAAGAGTACTTTCACATTTGTTTACTGTGTAAGAGATTTCTCCTCCACATAGTCAATATGAGCTCAGATAATGAACTTCAACAACCCCAGACTAATCAGTAAATGTCTCAAACAAAACATCTTATCGCAACTTGAAGATGTTTATAGCCGGGTTTTTTTTTCTGTGTCAACAGGGATTCTTCCCCTGCTTCTGATTCTATGACAAATTAGATTTGCATTATGGATGCTAATAATCAAATAGGCACTCAGGACCAGACTTTTGAAACTTTTTAACCTACAGAAACTCTTAGGGCTCATGTACACTGCAGCCAGGGGCGGACTGACAACTCATGGGGCCCCCGGGCAATAGGGGATCATGGGGCCCCTGTGTCCTTGCCCAAACTCAAAAAAGCCTATGAAAAAGGTACCAGGGGCATCTCATGGGGCCCCCTACTGACCCCGGGCCCTCAGGCAGTGCCCGAGTTTCCAAATGGTCAGTCCGCCCCTGACTGCAGCTGATAAACTCACGTTTAGGAGCTGTTCAGCGTTTTTTTCAGCAGCCCCTGAACTCATCCTAATGTTTTCCTATGTGTCTATGTACACATCTTCGTTTACAGTCGTTTACAGGCATTTGAGTTTACAGGTTTCTTTTTAACGCACCAAACTTGTGTTCAGCAGTCGATTTTATCAGCGTTTCAAACACAAAATGCTTGTAAACGCGGCAAATCGCGTTTATAAGTGTTTGTGTTTGAAATTTGTTTTTAACTCTTCCAGTTCCCGTTGCTGTCCAGAGCCTTTTTTCATCATGAAAAATGCATGCAAAGCGTTTTCAAGGTACTCAAATGGACAAAACACTGAACACAGCATGTTCCTACCAAGCTTGTCACACATTGTAATGACCAATTCACACCTCAGACCTCTCCCACCCTTGGAAACAAAAGATATGTTAATGACCAGTCACACCTCAAATTCCTCATGAAGACCCCCTGCCAGGTGACCTTAATGACTCCCCCCACCAGACACCTTTCCCACCCTTGGAAACAAAAGAAATGTTAAGGAGCAACTCACACCTAGCTAATGTCAACACATACTGCTGTCTCTGCTTCCACTCTGTGTATTTCTCTGAAACAGTCTGAAATAGTTAACAATTTACTACTTTTCAGTGCATTCTGGGCATTTGGGAGGTTCTCCTGTGCTTATCTTTAAAAAACGCTTCTAAAAGTATTATGCAAACGCTACTAAACAGAGGTTTTTTTTTTTAACCTACGTTTTCTAGCAGTCAGTTTCCATCGTTCAGAAGTGTCCCGTGTAAAATAATTTTTGGGTCTCGGTTAACCCATTGGGGTCAGTGGAAAAGTGCCCCTTACATCGGTGGGGAGTTTGCTATCCTTACAGACAGCTAAGAAGATCAATGGGTGTCATGTAGCTGGCTTTGCCAAGTGGTGTTGGCCATGAAACTATGCAGGAACCAGCAGAGAGGAGGGCAATCGGCTACAGATCAAGGAACCTCTGAAGGAAAATTCAGGTTTTATGGAACTCTGGTTGAGAATGGGTGACACTTCAACAGTAGGAAGTAGCCGAAATTCCTCCAAAAAACAATAGTCATCCGCTCGTGGGGGTTTCAGCAGTCCGTTATAGAAATATTTGTATGCCAAAAGCATAGACATGTATAAGCCATGGTGGGAGCACAAACACCCAACGTGTCCACAAATGTTACTTTCCACAAAGCAATATATATTGATATAGGCAAGAAAGCGCTGTCCGCAATCAGTATGATATGAGTGGTATAGTTGTCAGAAATTACTTTCCACCATACATTAATATTATTATTATACAGGATTTACATATATAGCACCAACAGTTTGCGCAGCGCTTTACAAAATGAAGGCAGACAAAACAGTTACAATACATTTTGGTACACAGAGGGCCCGGCTCATTAGAGCTTACAATCTAGGAGACATAGAAGAAAATGAACACTATAGTCTCATTATTTATTATAGGTACTTGTATAGCGCAGCGCTTTACATATATATATTGTACATTCACATCAGTCCGTAACCCCCAAGGGGGGTACAATCTAAGGTCCCTAACTCACATTCATACATACACATACTAGGGACAATTAGCTCAGAGCTGTACATTACAAAGGGGGACAATACATGAGACAGTACAGTAACAATACAATGCGATACACGAGGGGTTCGAGGGCCCTGCTCCTTCCAGCTTACAATCTAGGAGACATGTAGTGTTAGATGAAAAAAAAAGTGGTTCCAGAGTCAATACATAGTGCAAATATACTGAGCATGTGCACATTGCAGCCATACAATCAGTATCCACCAAGTAGTACAGGTATAAAATAACCATGAGCCTGACAGGTCAAATTTAAAGGACACCAGGGGCATTTCACAGGATGCAATGACAGATGATACAGAAGTGGAAAACAAAACACCAGAAGACAAGCTATGAAAAAATTCTATCCATAACAAGTTCTAGTGGTGATAGACCTGGTACTTCCAGCCATTCCCCCCATAGCTTGCAAGCATTTGCCTGGGTAACCCATGTGCTGGTAAATATGTTTTTCCAAGTAAAGCATGTCCTCTCTGTGATTAAGTCATTCTGTGTGGGTTAGGTTTTATCAGATTTTCAATGTTGAAAAACAAGCTTTCTAGCCTGGAATAATTCCCGTTGGATGGCAGCCCTCTGAGATTCAGTTAAGTCATAGTCATCTAAAATACCTAAGATACAACATTCAGGGTCCAGGGGTAAAGTGGTTTGGAACACTGTTATTAGTGTCCACAGTGCAGGGGCGGACTGACCATTTGGAAACTTGGGCACTGCCCGAGGGCCTTGCGTCAGTAGGGGGTCCAATGAGATGCCTCTGGTACCTTTTTCATAGGCTTTTTTTAGTTTGGACAAGGACACAGGGGCCCCATGATCCCCTATCGCCCGGGGGCCCCATGAGTTTTCAGTCTGCCCCTGCCACAGTGTCTACCCAGTAAAAATGTAACGTGGGGCAATGCCATACCAAGTGAAGATCACCCTGAGCAGTGTTGCACTTAACCAGTGGTGTCCCTAGGTGTCCGATCCATTATGCTCCCCAATCCGCAGATCCAATCCATCTTGCGGGGATCGTCGGCTTGCAACCTATACGGGTTAACTGATCTTGCAGCACCTGGGGGGTGTGACGGGGACACAGAGAGGGGAAGAGCCAGGCTGTGAATGCACGACAGGGACCGCCCACCTCTGGAGGGGTGACACCACGTGTTACCGCGCACTGGGTGACACCAACCCTAGGGACGCCCCTGCACTTAGCACAGAGTGAGGATTGTATAACTCCCATTTTTGAGGGATTTATTGTGTTCAGAGGACAATACAAAGCTGTGAGAGTCGCTGCGTGGAATTTACGGAACTGGATGTTGCAGACTCTAGGACACTCTCCCATTGTTCTTTCTCAAAAGAACCTACATCATGTTCCCATTTTTCTTTATCCATATAGGGATATCCTTCCAAGTAGGAAGCATAGCATAACACCGGGAGAGGAACCCCTTGGACTCCTCAACTGCCTTGACAAAATTAAACACAGGGGTGGAGTAGAGGCACCAGTCCACTACTGGACCCCAAGCCCAAATAACATGTTGGAGTTGGGGATAATACATTTGCATAGTGGGGGGAAGGTTATATCTGGGGCACAACTCTGGGAATGGAAGAGAACCCCATTACAAAAAATATGCTTAAGGTAAGTAATCCCCTGTTGTATCCACAGCCCTGCATTGTTCCATATAGGACTGTAGGTGGTGAATCCAGTGACCCCCTGCAAATATTGCACCACAAGCCAGACCTTCTGTAACAAGGAATAGTTAGGGTATGGCCTATTCCATGTACTAAAAGTAAGAGAGTCTAGACTACCAGGTATGTCCCGGGATTTAATATGGCAATGCATTATAGACAATAAAAAAACAGAACAAATAAATATTAAATAAGCAACTAAAAAAAAATGTGCAAATAATACAGAGAAAAATTAAATTGTTGAATAGTCCCACTCCAAAAAAATAAATAGAATATGGTGAATAGAATAAAATAAAGTCCTTGTTCCAAGACCCTTGACCAGTATTCACACCCATTTGTGCTATAATCACATACTGCACTCACCAGATATTGGTGAAAAAAACGCCTTGAATTTGGGCTCAGGGATCCTAGATCCCCTTAAATCAGCCTCAAATCACCAGGTAGAGATAGAAATCCCCCAATGTAGGTAAGACAAATGCCTCAGAACTCCAGACTGTAGTGTAGCCTCCCTGGCGGTATTCCCGAGTGTAGCTCGGGGTAAAGTTTCAGTACCACAAGGGAAACCCCGACCTACACTCGGGCTTACCATGCTGCGCTGCTCCGGGATCCCTCGGTCACTTACCTTGTCCTTTGCTTCCGCGATGTCCCTCCTGCAGTGTCCCCGGTAATGTCCTCCGGCGGATGCCGGCATCTGTCATCTGGGTTCCGTCCTCTGCGAGCGTCAGGACGTACGGGGGATGGAACGGCGGGACATTTGAAAATGACAAAAAGTGACATTCACTAAATACACTAAAATCACATAGTATAACATTCCTGTATCAAACCATTTCACATACATTTTGTCCCGAGTGCTTTGTCCTGCGCCCTGCCTGCATTTTTACTGTTCTTTCTGCCTGGAAACTGAGAAACGTCCATGGCGTCCAAAAAGCGTCCCTTTAGGTCAAAAGCGGTTTTAGACCGACTAGAGAACAGCGATAGTAAATCAGAACCACTTGCAGAATTGAGTGATAATGATTTGTGGGGGAAATTCCTTATCAGACACTGAAAACGATTCTGAGACTTTGCTCAGTGATGTGCGAACTTGGCCCTCTATTTCAAATTTCAGTGTTTTTGGTTTGATTATATTATTGAATTACATTTATTATTATTATATTATTATTTTTTATGATTATTTATTAAATTATATTCGTGTTTCAAGTTTTATCCTACCCGGGATGTTTACTAGACTCTTGTTCGGACAGATTTCAGTGAGTTATTCCTAAGAATTACAGGCCTACAATATAAATGCCAAATTTCCATGCAAAATAATGGTACCGCTTTCAGCACCAAAAATCTGAAATAATCAGACCGCCAGGGAGGTTAAATTAGCCTCCAACCTCCGGGACCACCAAAGATCACGGAAGTGACATGGTACATTGGACGGCAAAGCCGGAAATGCGTCAACGCGATTCGCCCCTCCTCCAGGGTGTTTTCACAGTTTCTTATTTAATATTTATTTGCAGTGTTTTTTGTTATTTTATTAGTGATATCACTAAGGAGCAGCAGCATTTTTGGGGAATTATTTCACAATATCTTTTGGTGCTGAAGATTTTTTGTTTAATGCATTATAGACAATGTCTGCCCATAACTGTTACTTGATATCTGGGCTCTTCAGCAAAGATGAATTGTTATGTCAAGGAATAATTATGAACACACTTGTCTCAATGTAACAATTGTATTGATATACTGAAAGGATGGTCACTATACCATACATATATATAAAACCTTTTTGTGATATAATAAATTAACAAAATAAATTAAATTAAGAAATCATAAAAATATATACCAAGAAATATAAAATATAAATAAAAATAAAGAATACAAAAACTCCCCAAATCCAAAATGTCCAATAATAAATCCAAAAATAAGTCCAAAAATAAGTCCAAAAACAGTGTCCAAAATTCCAATCTTTTTTCTCCAAATACGAAAGTTGACCTCTATTTCATCAAAAAAACGTACCTCAAAAAAAATAAATATAAATAATCTAGTGCAATTAAGTTAATTAAAAGAAATCACCCCATGCAACTTCACACTTCACTTCAAAAATATTTAGAATATAATAGATGTGTGAAGTTGCACGGGGTGATTTCTTTTAATTAACTTAATTGCAGTAGATTATTTTATATTTATTTTTTTTGAGGTACGTTTTTGGATGAAATAGGTGTCAACTTTCGTATTTGGAGAAAAAAGATTGGAATTTTGGACACTGTTTTTGGACTTATTTTTGGATTTATTATTGGACATTTTGGATTTGGGGAGTTTTTGTATTCTTTATTCTTATTTATATTTCTTGGTATATATTTATGATTTCTTAATTTAATTTATTTTGTTAATTTATTATATCACAAAAAGGTTTTATATATATTTCATTACACTTTCTAGGGTGGAAGGTATTAACTTTTTGAGGGTATAAAAAGAAGGAGGGTACACATTTAATTAACTATACCATACAGTATACTTATGGTCAGGTCTGTGCATATTTTTTAAATATTTGATATACTATATTTCGATAGTATGTTTATCAGACCAAAAAGACACGTTCGTTGTTAGCGTTTACATACACTTTTTATACAATGCCGCTCATCCACTTTTTTTATTTCTTTATTCTGCAGAAGGTTACCCTGTATGCACCTCTTCCACCAAGTCTGCGTTGATCAGTGGTTAGCGACCAGTAAGAAGTGCCCTATCTGCAGAGTGGACATCGAAACGCAGCTCGGGGAGGACAGCTGAGAAAAATCCCCCCAGGATGGCGTCCGAATTCTCCTTATCAGGTCCACACGGCCTTCACCTGCAGCAAACCTTTTGCTTCCTGAGCCATTTAAAGGACAGTCTGCAAGCACATTATTCTGTAGATGAATCATAGGCACGTAACAAAAAAAAAAAAAAAAATACTGGAGGATCTTAACAGCCATAACGCCCCGTTTCGCAGGGGAAGCAGGCCTTCTCCTTGCCACAGGGCCCAATCGCTGGAGACGAAGACTGGCCCTTCGCAGGTACTCTTTTGTCAGTCTGGCTTGCCAATCCTGCACTGCAAAGAATTGTACATATACCTCTCTAATATGTAGAATCAAGTAGGGGTCGTAGCTATAACTGTGGATGGCATCCGGAGCATGTTAGCTTAAAAAAAAATATTGTGTTCGGTGCCCTAGTCATCTTGTGGTGGACATGTTGCTATTAGCCTATTTTTGCACCAAATAATATTTACCATTTTATTTATATTTATTTTTTGTTTCAGGTTTTTTTTTTGGGTTTTTTTGGTGCTTGAAGGAGCCATGACATTTGACACGTTGACATTTTCCAACTTCTGAAACTTGAGGCGAAGAATAAAATCCTGTTTACAGTTTTTAAAAAAAAACAAAAAAAAGGATTGGATTGGAGCCTTAGGTTTTGTTACTTTATTTGAAATAATTTATTACTTACTTATGTTTACAGAGGATGATACAAAAGGCAAAGCTTTTACAAAAAACGGTGGTCATGGTGGACTCTGCTGATGCTGGGGAAAGGTTTTTTCATGGCCTGTTTTTCTACGGCCCTCGTAGTAGGTAGTCACATTCAACTGGACCTGTTCTGTAATGTTGAAGACGTTTCACTGCCCAATCAAGCGGCTGAGGAAGCCACTTGGATGAGTGCAAAATGTCTTCAACATAGTCCAATTGAATGTGATCAACTACTACTAGGTATACCATGACCTGAATAAATGAGAACCTCCACAGACATATGTCCCTGTTCTTTTTTTAAAAACTCTACTCTTCAGAAACTGGTATTCTAATTTTGGCTGGGCCCTGGTGAAGTATTTAATCAAAAGCCTGCTTCATGCCCAATGGCGATATTATTGTGTGGTGGTTTGCACCTCTGGATCCAATTGCAAGGCCATCACAAAGCTTGCACTCTTGATGGCTATCTAAAGAATTCTTCTGGGGACTTGATGCCAGTTTGGAGATAAGTCACCACTTGAGACACCAGATTCAGCCAAAAATTTAGTCTGCCAGTTTTGGGTAGTGGTGGCCTTTAAAAAATAAAAATTTTAGAAAAAAAGGGAATTACAGCCATATGTAGAAAGCAGCTACAAGCATTTTAATGCTATCTGCCCTAAAAGGGATTACGCAAAAGAAATAATTATAATCTGGGGGATTTTTTTTTTTTGCCCCAGAGTTCTAAAATTTACTGATTACCCTTCAAAATTTTAACAAGATCTCTCATTGCACTATGCTCTGTTATTTCAATGGAGCTTACCGTTGTGTATTTATGTAGTTCTACCCTATAGTGCCAAAATGCAGCTATATCCTTTACCTGGGTAGTTTGTTACCTAGTGACCACTTAGTATTTGAAGCTCTAGCACAGCCATTCTCAACCATGGCTCCATGGATTCCTAGGGGTCCTCCAAAGGAACCATCTGATGATGTCTGCATAGTTTGGGGGGGCCAATTCCACTTGGTATTGTTTTTAACTGCCTGTAAGGGTGACATTCTGACCACCACTGTAAGGCGTGCATTCTTCCCACTGACCACCAATCAAAATGGCAGGCTTCCAACTGACCCCCCAATAAATTGGTTTTCAGCAGGGGTTTCCTGATCTGAAAATTATCAGAAGGGTTTCTGCCCAGTAAAAAGGTTGAGAAAGGCTGTTCTAGAGAGATTTTTTTACCTAAATCTCAGTGATAGTAATAAAAAATTTCTTACCTTTTGTCCATGGTTAGCAACTAACAACTGCAAGTCTACATGTTGAGGTATTATAAATTTTAAATATTTGAAATAAAAAGACTCAGGGGTTAAACTAACCAAGGGTAGTCAGTGCTCATAAAATTTGAGGTGCGGTCAACATATTGCAGTCATCGTTTAACCCATGGGTGCTCAACCTGTGGCCTGTGAGCCATATGTGGTCCTCGGAGCCCACTGATGTGGCCCTCAACCTCAAACCAGGAAAGCATACTTCCATTTACATCCTGGTTTGGTATGATTTCTGAAAGGGGAAAATCAGTGTGTAAGGGGACACAAGACAGCAAGGGCTCGTTTACATTTGAGGTTTGGTGGAGGTAATGTGTTTTTACCACACACCCCCAACCACTGGTGTAGCGTCAAGGGTCACAATGGTGACTCTGCCTATACTTCAGGGGGGCCCATACAGCCTCCCAGTCACATTGTTTTTTTCACTTGGGCAGGAGAGGCAGCAGGTCTGGCATATACAGGAACCAATCCTCTCAATTTTCCTCCTGTAACTGCTGAAAGCTGGCTTTTCCTCCTCTCCCTTCCACCGGCATTTAGTAGCTGCAGGAGGAAAATGTTTCCTATGCTATTCAAAATAAAAAAAATTCAAAATTTTGAACTATTTTATTTCATTGTGGCCCACAATCGGGGACCAAATCACCTAAAGTGGCCCTCACTCTTCAAAAGGTTGACCACCCCTGAGTTAACCCAATCAGAAGTATCTTGCCATCCCCTAGCTGTGACCAACTGCTAACAAAATTGTGCATCTTTATGGCCACTGGGAAAACAAACATACAGAAGGCTAATTGACATTCACAGGCATGTCCTGATATTAACACGCATACCTGCCTCAGTGGATAGGCCAGATATTACGTATTGATTGGACTAATGCAACCGTTGCTGCACCTCCACTGTGTCACAAATCCGATGGTGTTATTAACACCTCGCCGGTTCACTGCAGGATTCCTGAAAGGGCTGACATTCGACGGCAGCACAAAATGAAAGCCATTTTAGATCCTTCAATAAAAGCACAATTTACCTAATAATAACAAATGGACAACTGTTTGCATGTAAACAGTTGTTGGGCTTTAAAAGGAGCCAGAGAAGCCATCCAAGAACAGATCAATCGCCATTCTGCTACGTCCGTCCTTTCTGAAATCCATGAGGCTTGGCGAGGGTCTTCGGCATCAGCAGAAAGAAACCAGAACAGCTGTTTCAAGAGTCTACGTTTAGTCCTTGTAGGATAATAAACCCTCTTTTGCTCAGAGCAAAGTCTTTCAAGAGGTTGTCCAGGACAGTTTGGTTCTTTCCATGGAATTACAAAGAGGGCTGTTCAGTTTTTTTATAGACCCCCAGCTCACTAATTCTGTGGCAGAGGGCTGTGTGGAGTCGCAGAGCCCTTATCTGAAAACAGCAGTGCGGAACTGGATTCATTGTTAGGGTAGGGGCTGAAAAAGATGCCTCCTCAGTTCTGTAATTGGTATACCATTCCTTTAATTGTCCAGTCTCCCGTGGCATCACTCACACCTACTTATTACATATCTGTAGCAAATCCCCCCATGATAGATCAATCCTTCCTACAGCTGATTTCAGATAAGAGCTCAGATATTCCACATCCTTCTTACCTTTAAGTAGAAGTGGAACTCTAGTCAATACTTTTTTTCAAGCTTTGGATAGAGAAAGGAATGTTTAAACCTCCAATGGCCTTGTTTTTGTCCCTACTGGGGGGTATTCACTCTCCTTTCCCATCCTGGTCACTGTTGTTACTGGGACAGAAAACAAGAGGAAATCTAAAATGTAGCCGTTGTCACTGAAAAAGGAAGTGGAGCTGGGAGGAAATCTAATTTCCTGTAAAACAATTTCAAGGCTAGGTACATACCAATGCATGTTGTGATTGAGCCTAGTTTCGTACTTGAGCGTCTTCCAGTGTGCAGAAGTGCACCACAGTCCATTTGACCTCTGTCACAGTCCCACAGTCCTCTGTGACCAAGCCCCGTTGGGCAGGGCGAAACGCGTTGAAGGGCGTGGCCAGTAAGGCGGATGAGGCCATTCCTCAACATTGGAATCCTGGAGTCGGTTGAGCCGTGTCCATCCCATTACTTGTATTAGCTACCACGGCCCATTTAAAATGATTTCCAATGGATCTAGTTCACATCTGTTTGTTTTGAGCCTGTGCGTTTTTTTTTTTAAAGGATCAGGTACTTTTATTCCCATAGCAGATTGCATTTTTAGTGCAACAGACTTCAATGGAACTGCACCAAAAGCGCAAATGTTGGAAAAGTATGAAAGTTCTGTTCGTGTAGTGCAACTTTGACGCAACTTTCCACTCTCTGACACTCGAGTAGCATCAAAGTAATGCGGGAACCTTTATGTGTCCAAAGAGGCATTGTTTGGCTAATAGAAAAGTATGACCGTTCTGTTCATGTAATGTGACTTTGATGCAACTTTGAGCCCCCGTTCACACCAATGCGATTACATTTGCAAAAAAATTTCTATTAGCCAAAAAATGCCTCTTTGGACACCAATGCGATTTGTCGGTACAAAATCGCATGACAAGTCGCACCCTATTTGTGCCTATGGAACCCTTCAAATCGGTGCGACTCGGATTTTAAAAAGGTTCCTGCACTATTTTTGGCGATTTCACGCGCGACTTGCATTGACATATGCGTGTAGCACTACCCCCTTAAGAGCTGCAGTAGATTTCGGGTCTCCCTACAGCTCTGCACAGCCAGGCAACGCACACCTTCACACGGGCTTGTGTCCAGAGTCAGAGATCAGACCACAATTTGACCTCCTGACTATTGCACTTAGGCTACTACTCAGCCCTCCTTTCTAACAACCAGGACTCTAGCTCCCCCTAGCCAACATTTGCTGTACTGGCATGAAATTGCACAGATGTTGGCTAGCCGCACATGAAATTGCATTGGGGGTAAGTGTAAGTAGCTGAAGTAGTGCGATTTCAAAGCCACATTTGATATGAACCAGGGCTGATGCTACTTGAGTAACAGAGAGTGTAAAGTCACATCA